AGTGGACCGGATACATTGGCGTACTAAATTATTTTATAGATGTTAATAACAATTTCGAGTAAATAGTTTAATAAATTGTAAATAGCTATTGAAAAGAATTATGATTTGGATATTATAATACATGTTAAATAATTATTTATAGTCCATAAATACATGCGATTGTCCGGTTCTGCCGGTAACAATTTAAAATTACTTATTCTATGAAACGACAGGTGAACATTACTGCGAAATTCTCGAAGCCATCCGACGAGGTTTGCCGTTTACCCCCTCTCTACCTACTAAAAGCCTTTCCAACTTCTGCCCCTGCTATATATATTAAAATGATTTTCATATATACAGGGTGTCCCAAACCAGAATAGCAATATAAAGTTATATTTTTTTAAATGGTACACCCTATATTTTCTTTTAAATTCGACTCTTAAAAATAATCTTAGTTTATTTAATACAGATTCCCTATCTTTGATAATTGCCGATTTATTTGACATTATTTGAAAATGTAGTGTTGTTGAAATTAATTACTCTTGATTACAAAATAATTAACGAATTTTTGGCAGTTCCTTACGAAATGTAACTTTTTATCAGAATCATTAAAATATTGAAAAAATGTACGGAGTGTTTGCAATTTGAAGTTTTATTACAGTAAAATGTTTTATTTAAATACTGCGTTAATTTAAATGATATTAAGGAAATTGTATTTACTTTAAAAGTTCTATAAGGTTCCCTATACCCATATCTATTTTTAAAACTATTATCAATAGTTTCAATGAATCAATAAATTTCAAACAATAATAGTTTTATTTTAAAAAGGCCATTAAATTTATTTGTTCCAAAAATTGTCAATAAATTTAAAATTTACAATAAATGTTCAAAATGATGTTCATTATTGTAATGCACATTTTGATTGGCTTTTCAAATTTTTTTTTACGTTACTTAAAATCCCTAAATTAATAATAGCAAACGCGTAACGAATAATTGTTTTCACATCGTTAGCAGTGGTAGGCTGAGTTTGATAAACTATATTTTTAACATGAACCATAAGAAACAATCTAGAGGGGTTAGATCGAGTGATCTAGGGGGACAATTAGTAGGGCATCTTCTTCCTATCCATTTATCAGGAACTTGTTGGTTTAAATATGTACTGACATTATGCGAAAAATGGGCGGGAGCACCATCTAGCTGCAGCCACATTTTTCGGCTAATATCCAAAGAAATATGCTCTAGAAGGTTCCAGAAATCTTTCTTTAACAATTTTCTCCGGTTTAAAGGGCCATCAAAAAAGAAGGTCCCCACCAATTGTTTTCCTATCATTCCAGCATAAACGTTTAACTACCACTTCGAGCATATATATTTCAGAGTCCGCATTCAACAGAGTTTGTTTGAGTTGTGAGGGGAAATAGGTAGACACTATTTTCAGTGTCGCATCATTTTTACTGGGTTTGCAATTAATATAAATAATAAATTTGATGTATACCTTTAAAATTCTTTAAATTATGCACATATTTTATAAACTTGCATTATTTAAGTAGGTATCTAGTAATAGTAAATTATAATTTTTATTATTATTATTATTATTATTATTATTATTATTATTATTATTATTATTATTATTAATATTATTATTATTATTATTATTATTATTATTATTATTATTATTATTATTATTTTTGTTGGACACATCAGATTTTTTTAATTCAAGCATCAGAAAGTGTAATACGGGAAAATGAAGGTTGAAATAATAGGCAATAAAAAAGATAAAGAGCTTGTATTTAAAAATCAAAAATATAAATAAATATTAGGTATATTATAAAAATATTTATAATATCTATTAACACACGTGTACGAGAATTAAAATAAAATAATTTTTTCCAATAATTTATTAAACATAAATATATCGTTCGTAAACAATGTTTAATAGATTAACTAAACGATATACTACAAATAGAAGTCAAGCTAATACTTAGGTACATTTGTACTGTCAGTCGTTAACAAATAAGTGAAGCTTAATTTTTATCGGAAAACTGTCTTAAGCTTCGATTATTTCTTAATGACTAGGAGTACAAATAAAAGAAGCCTAAAATGACTTTTTAAATGAAAAAATCACATTAGGCTTTGCTTATTTCTTAACGACTAGCAGTCACTTAATTAAAGAACATAGGTATATTTAATAAAAAATAATGATTGTAATTTTTTGTGATTTATAAAAAATATAGTTAGTAATAGGTAAGTATTTAAAAATAAAATTTATGTTGTATTAAAAAGTACTTAGTTAGTTACATGCTTTCTAATTCTGCATTTTCTTTTTCTGCAACAGAGGCTTCATGGTTTAGATCATTACTGAAAAATTAAAAAAATTTGAACGATTAACCCACAAGTGCAGGGTTCTTTACCTTTTAGTTTCATCTTCTTCTGGGACCTCAGTAAGTCCTTATGGCAATGCACCTGAAATTAATCTAGTTTTTCCTCCGCATCCAGTCTTTGACATAAACATATGTCCAGAAAAATGATTGGAACATAAAACATCACTATTTGAAATGTTTTCTGGAGTAAGTTTCAATATGTTTCATCAAATGCGTTTTTCGGCAGGATTAGTTGGAAACCTACAAAAAACAAAAATTATTGATTTAACATCTTCAACATTATCATGATAAAATGAATTAAAAACGAAAAGCTTGTTTATATTGAAAAATTGTGATTTTTTTTTTTTACTTTTTAGTAAAGTCCAAAATCTAAAACAATATTCCTCATACATAATACAAGTTCTTTAAATTTAATTCACTAAATTTACCATTTATTTTAAATTCATGTTTAACGGCCTTTTGCATAAAATGTAGGTACTTATGTTTCTTTTAAAAAAATGGTAGAGACGCTAATGGTTACTTACTTGTGAAATGACCTTGATGATGCCTTTTCGTATTTCTATTTAAAACTTACAAAAACTCTCACGATTGTTAAAATTTGTATCACTAAAGTAATAAAATACAAAAAATCACTTATAAACTACAAAAATAAGCTAGAAATTAATGAAAGTCAAAAATCAAATGACAGTTCTGATAATTTCGAACGATTTGACATGCCAAGCAAAACGAAACAGACCAATGGGAATGCTGGACACTATATTTCCCCCTGTACCAAAACAAATTCTATTTGGACGATGGCTCTAGAAATATATGCTCGAAGAACGACCATGTGTTTTGTTGATCTACGGTTCGAAATTTATGTTTATTTTCGGTGCTCTGTAATAATGAAAATTATGTCTATTCACAAATCCGTTATTACTACAAGTAGATTTATCAGTAAATAGCATTTGACCGAAAAATTATCCATCTTCTCCTCCAAAAACCATAAACAGAATTCTGACCTGCGTTCAAAATTTGTTTCATACAACTTTTATTGCGACTGAATTTTAAATGATGATAAAAAATATTTTTTAGAATTTTTTGGCTTAAATCTAACTGTTTTGCCACAATTATTGTGCTTGTGTTAGGATTTTCGATAACGGATATCTAGAAGAACATTTTGTTGATTAGTCATCTGTTGTATACTTATTTATTTATGGTACGCTTTTCACGAAATCTCCTTAAAAGTCTTTCAAAAACTTCTTTCCTGGGATGATTTTAGAAAGGAAATCGTGCTGCATAAACTCTAGGCGCCATTAAACAATTTTTCAAACATTCCGCAAGTATTAAAATCATATTTATTCTCTCTTCTCTCGAATACTTCTTCATTTTTATTAATCGCAACTATCAATAATTCACCAAAAAAAAAAAAATCACACGTTTCAAGTAATTAAAACTAAAGAAAATTGTTGTTTTGACAATTATTATGGCCTACTCTTCGCGTATACATTTTTCCAAAGGCAACTTGATTAAATGCGGTAATAAATTAAATTTGTTAATGCAAGGAAACTACTGCTAATAAATAAGAAATTAGCTTAGATTGAAGTAATCTATGGAAATTAGTGAGCCCTTTAGACAATTTCAGGATTGTTACTATATTTTTTAATTTAAAACAAATTATTACAAATTTTTAATTTATTAGAAAATTTCGGTATAAATAAATGTTTGTTTTAATATAAAATTATTAATAAACGACTGAAATTTGTTTATGCATAGAAACTATTCATAATAGGTCTAAATAAAAATAGTAGATATGGGTACAGGGAACCTTATAGAACTTTTAAATTCAATAAAATTTACTTCGTATCGGTACCATAAAATACAGGGTGTGCCATTTAAATTAACGCAGTAATTAAATAAAACATTTTACTGTAATAAAACTTCAAATTGCAAACACCCCGTACATTTTTTGAATATTTTAATGATTCTAATAGAAAGTTTCGTAAGGAACTGCCAAAAATTCGTTAATTATTTTGTAATCAAGAGTAATTAATTTCAACAACACCACTACATTTTAAAAAGTCAACTAAATCGGCAATTATCAAAGATAGATATAGGAAATCTTTATTATTTAAACTAAGATTATTTTTAAGAGTCGTTCTTAAAAGAAAATATAGGGTGTACCATTTAAAAAAATATAACTTTATATTGCTGTATATATGAAAATAATTTTAATTTGTAGCCGCCGTTGAGATGTAAATGTGTTCCAAAGGAATTTTTAATATCGTTTGTAGTTTACCCGTCAGGCTCCGTCTCGTTGAGCATGCCGCACCATGTATTAATGATGTCTATTTAATGGACTGTATAGTTTTAAATAAACGATGGAAATTTGTTCTCTTACCTTTGAATAATTTCGTCTCTCTCTCTCGTACTCGGTGAAAAGGAAAAAATAATGAGAGAAAAATGGTAATATTTTTCAGTAATTTCACTTAACATAAAAACCAGAACCGCCCTACAAAAAATTGTATTGTAATTTCTAATCAACTAACGCTTAACGAAAATGATGACCTAAGACCAGTTTACCAATATAATGAAATAAAAATGTATCGGCCACAAGCAACACAAAATATAAAATTAATTTTATGATATTTTATTTTGTTTCAGGATATTATATGAATCTCAATCAGAATCCTAGGACGTTACTACCGAAATTTTTCGGACTTTATTGTTATCAGTGTAATAGTAAAAACGTAAGACTGGTAGTCATGAATAACTTATTACCTAGCTATATAACGATGCATCATAAGTACGATCTGAAAGGGAGTACCTACAAGAGAAAGGTAAGAGTTAGAAACTGTCCAAAAACGCTTTTTTAATAAGCGTTTTTTTGTTAGGCTTCGAAAGCTGAACGATCTAAACGGGCTCCGACTTACAAAGATCTGGATTTCATGGAACACCATCCGGAGGGCATTTTCATGGAGGCTGATACCTACAACGCTTTAACCAAAACGATACAAAGAGACTGTAGGGTATTAGAAAGTTTTAAAATTATGGATTACAGTTTACTATTAGCCATACACAATTTGGATCAGGCGCAGAAAGAAAAAATGGCAAGTATTAATTTCGAAATACTAAGGCAAAGTGAAATGATATATTACCTCAAGAGGACAATATTTTGAGAAAATTTTGTTGTTGCCTTAGAAAGTTGCATAATTTGTAAGGAAACAACAGAATGTTCTCCATAAAAATTCTCACATCACGTGGTATTTGTAAAGATTATTAACAATTTTACCGTATTTTTCTACTCACTTTCTTGAAAGCTTTGGATTATTTGAACAACCAATACGATTTTTGTCCATTTTTCGTCTCATTTTTGACAAATTTCAAATTCACGTCTCACATAAATCATTGATACGTTACTCTGGTAATGAAACCCAATCAGGGTTGAGTAAAAACACTGCAATTCTCAGTATATTCAGATATAGTTTGTTTTGATTGGCGTTTGTTGGGAAAAAGATGATTGTCTTTGGTTGGTGTATTATAATGTTAAATATTTAATAGCATTTGTATTATGTGATATTGATCTCTATAGTCGGAATATTTTTTTAGGAAAGGAAATCTCAGATCAACCTGGACAGGCTGCAGGTGGAGGGGGAGGCGGGCGACTCGAATACCGTGTTGATTCGCGAAGAGAGGGAGAGAGAAAAAGAAGACAGAATGGCCACTGCGGGCGCCTTGAACCGCAGCCGGTCGATAAACAGGCAAAGGCTGGTCGCACATTCCACTGCTATGGAGAGCATTCAGGCTGAATCCGAACCGATAGACGAAGACGACGATACACCGTAAGTTTGTCTTCCTTTGGGTAGTTCGAATGAACCGTGATAATACGTTTCAGACCTGGCGGAATACCTGCGAGAAACGCCAAGGGGGAGCGACTTCTCTTGTTCATAGGAATAATAGATATCTTGCAGAGTTATAGGTTAAAGAAAAAATTGGAACACACCTGGAAGTCCATGATTCATGACGGTGTAAGTATTTTTAATTTTTCCAACAAAAAACGTACAGAAAATCTCTAAAACTGACTTTAATGTTTCAGGATACTGTTTCTGTACATAGACCTAGTTTTTATGCTCAGAGATTCATGAAATTCATGTCCCAGACTGTATTCAAAAAGATTCCATCACGTAAGTAGATTCTGCAAGTTTTTATACCGCACATTATTTTTTTAATACTCATTAAACAAAATACTTTTACAGAATATAAATATAACCACATCGAAAATAAGTCATTACAAGAGATTGTCCCCGTAGATTTTGTGGCTCAGCTAACTTGTACTATAATTGTGCTTCGTTGAGCTCCCTATGTTTGTGTTTTTGAACAAACCATTGTCTTTTAGAAAATGAATATCGTTCCGTCTTAATCTCTAGCTAAAAATCTTCCTATTTGAAAGTTTATATAATTTTTTGGTAGTTTTAAAGTCTATATTTTACATAAAACTTGTTTAAAATTATTTTTTTTTTCTGTTTTTGTGAGCAAAAAGTCTTAAGATAAGCCCGATAAGTTGTAACAATCAGACCAATAAAATAATTGAAGAAAATGTTTTAAAAAATAAGTAAACTAAGGGTCGATCTTTTCACCTCTGAATAAAGTTACATGTAGGTTTACTTAACAGATTAACAAACAGCCTACACAGAACACGAGGCTAATGGCCGTAGTAGTCGACGCCGATGACACCAATTAAAAAAAAAAAATAACCCTATAGTTTAATCAGCAAGTAGTTACTTTCTACTTTACTCAGAGGTGAGAAGACTGTCCCATAGCGATCTCCATTGGTGATATTCGGGCAGTTTCATCGCAAAATGTGTGTTCCATTGGTAACACTGTATTAGTTTTTCGTTTACTATTGGAAAACTGGTGTTCTAAAACCTTGTATATAAGGCAAGAATCGATGTTAGCCTGTTTACTTAGGAGGAAAGTAATATTGCAATTTTGGAAGCTTTGATAACAACGAGAAATCAGGTTTTGAATATAAAAACACATAACTGAATAATAGTTATTTTTTTTGTATTAATTGTTGTTATTATTATCATCGACGGGACTTTATTTTTACCTCAAAAGGCATTTTATACTTTCTAAATAGATTGTTAAGATAATTATATCTAAAGAGACAGTTTCCTAAAAATTAAAGTTATGGAGGAAACAACAAATAATTTACTATAAATAAATTTCTATTATGATTATGGCAGCAGTTTGCCCGAAATTTGTAACAGACGTTTTGATATTTTAGTAGTCAGTCAAAAATAAAATGGAAAACTTTTTATTTTGCATACTAAATTGGGTATACCAGGTGTTAATGAGACTAGAGCCACAATAATATCGCTTTTATTTGTACAGGGTGTTTCAGCATAAATTACCGTAAACTGGGAGATTTGTAGATCTTAACTAATTATTAAAAAAAGCTAAATATAATTTTCCTGTTAACATACCAGTTTTTATTTTTTAGGGTGAAAAAGTGAATTTAATAAATACATAATTTTCTAAATACCCTTGCTTACGGTAAATACGTTAATTCAAAAATATGTATGTGCCAGTTAATCATCATTATTAGTTAACACACATTAGTTAACCCATTGGCGTAGAATCAAGGGCTAAGAAAACAATTTTAATCCAAACTTTTTGAACACACTATATTTCACAAAAGTTGAGATTATTAATTATTCCTCATGCAATTTGTTAAAAAAAGGAGACTCTTGGTTGATCTCTGTAGAACATTCCATTTTCAAGTTTTTTTAGTTTGAGTCCTACCTAAACATGAAATCTATGGAACCATTAAGTCCATAAAATCTTGGTCCCATTAGATAATTGACCTTTTAATTATGAAATCTGCCCATGATAAAATTGTACAAAGATTTCATGTTTGAGAAGGACTAATACTGAAAAATCTCTGAAATGTAAAATTCTACAGAGATCAACCAAGATTCCCTTTTTTGTGACAAATTGTGTAAGGAATGATTATTAATCTCATCTTTTATGAAAAATAGGGTGCTCAAAAATTTTGGCTGAAAATTATTTTCATAACCCTTGATTCTACGCCACGAGTTATCGTAATTTATCGAAATAAAGTGTGTTAACTAATAATGACGATTAACTAACATACATATTTTTAAGTTGATATCTTCACAGCAAGAGAAGATATTTAGAAAATTATGTATTAATGAAATTCACTTTATCACCCTGTAGAATAAAAACTGCTACGAACTTAACTATACCTCTCGAGTAAAGTTGTTTTAGTCTAAATTCAAAAGTTCAAGGGAATGAAAGGGGAATGACAAGGAGAATGAAAATTTAGCAACACTGAGATTATACTTAAATCAATTGAACACGGCGACAGCCCTGCAGCTGTGTTTAACATGATGTTATTCTGCATAAACTCTACTCCTACGAAATTAGAGGCATTCAAAATAAATAGTTTCAATCCTATATTGAATATCTGCTCCAGTTTAAATTAATTACTCAGACCTCAGACAATCACTTTTTCTCACAGAAACTGATAAGCAGTGTGGGGGCACCCCCATATTGTTTACTTCTTAAATAAATTAGCTCCATGAGATAGTTTCTGAGGCATTTACAACACTATGCAGATGACTCCAACCCTTCTTTTCTCAAATTTATCAAAGAAATACTGCAAAATAAAATAAATATTACTCTTAAAACGTTTTCAGAAGGGTCCAGTAATCATTATCTACTATTTAACATTTCTAAAAAAATACAAGTGCTTCCATACTTATCAGAATATAAAGTTTTCTACTTTAAATATCAGAGCAAATAATATACAGATACATAAATTTAATAATAGCTATTTGTGTATTAAGAGCGAAAAGTGATACTTTGCTGCTCGAGAAAGAAAGTTAAACGCGCGAGACGTAGTGGAGCGCGGGCAATCTGTCGAAAGCGGCAACGAACTTGTCGATCAAAATGCACATAAGATTTTTTCTACGATCGCATTATTTTAAGAAATAGATATAAAAACTGAAAATTTGTCGTAAGTAGTGTTGCCTATATCTACGTTATTTATGAAAAAATGAGTTAATGTTCAAAGTCAATGTTAACTTGGATAATAAACCCAAAAAACATCAAACTACGTAAAAATAACTTGAAAATCATGTATTAAAAAGAAATATTATACCTAATTTAAATTAGGCGAGCAACAAAGCTGTCAACTTTGTCGCTCAGCGAGCGACAAAGCTGTCACTTAATGTCAGTTTGCGGAAAATATCAACTTTGCGGTTGTATTTCGAAGCTCAAAAGCCTACTTTAGATAGTGATCGTAGAAAAATAGTTATTATTGTTATTGCTGGATTCTAATAGTATTTCTTCTTTACTTAAACTAGTAAACAGCAGAGTGCGCTTGCGTTTAAAATCTAATAAATAGAAGACCTTTTGTGATCATTTATAATTTCTTCCAGTTTCTTGCTTGTTAAAATAAATTTATTGAAAACGTTTCTAACTGACAATGGTTTGTTATACTGATTAAATAATTTTTTTTTTGTCTAAAATTGTAAGCTTGTAAATGGTAAACACAAAACACAAACACATTTTTCGTATTATAAGTATTTTGATATTTGAATATATTTCATGTCTTTTTATAAAGGTTTGGAAGTGACATTAAAAATTTTAACCATTTTACCCAAATCATAATATGGAGCGTCACAAAAAATGTTTTTAAAGTAAGCCTTGGAAAAATTAACGAATGTCGGAGTGTAGTAACGACATGTTAAACAGTAGCTGCCGAAGGGTAAGGCTGGTATGTCTAAGAGGATTAGTCTTCCATCTTGGACTATATTTTTATTCGTAATAGGCGCCAAGCTTGTCAATTTAATAAAAATTACATTTTCATGATGGGTCAGCTTTTTTAGGATAAAATATTTAAATTTAATACATATCATATGTCGCAACCCCTTAGATATACCAACCTTTTCCTTCGACAGCCACTTTGTTTGTAATGCCCTTAGATTAAAGAAGGTAATGCCTAATAAGTCGTCTTCTTTTTAATTGTCAATTTGGATTTCATTCATAACTGTGAAGTTAACACGAACACGACTTGTATCTCTGTCTTTATCAGTCATGGCCTGCTATAGAAACATTTTTTGTGGATCACTCTGGTAACAATATTAATAATGACACATGTTTAATAAGTTTTGGGAAACAACCCCATGACAAGCAAAAAATGGAATCTAAACAAATAGATTTAATATCTTCCTGAATTCGCGAAAACGATCTTTGTATTTTTTTTTTTTTTTTTTTATTTAGGTAACCCTTGTTAATATAAAAAAATATATATTTGCTACTTCTAAACCTTTATAAAAGAAAATGTAGTTAGAAACTGCCTTTTCAATTCATGTAATGTTACTTGTTTATCAATGTTCACGCAGAATTTTGAAGTTCTTTATCTTTAAGAAACAGTTGGGGAATAATAGTGCGAACCATAATATCATTTTTAATCCAAAACTATCAGTTTCGAAAATTTGCAAACTGACGTCATCTGTCAGTGTCAATGAATGTGTGAGGGGCTTCTACTGAACTCCCTAGGAGCTTCGCCGTCGAACAGGAAATGGGTAACAATTGTTCAGTGGCGCGTAATATATTTTTTTTAGGATTTGTTCAATTAATAGAGAATTAAACGTATTCAATGAAGCGAGCGCAGTAACTATTCTTCCTACGGATCTATTTACGTCTAACGTAAAGGTGCGTATTCGTACGTACGTACGCCCAATACGTATTGGTATCGAGCCGAGCAAATACTTCGGGAGCATCCGATCGAAGCCGATTTATTAAAACTAATGACGGATTCGTGCTTTTCACAAAACAAGCGTGCTTCTAAGCTAGTAACTCGTAACAACTCTCAAGACATTAGATTCCCTCATACGATGCGTGCCAAATGTAAGCAATACATTTTGAAAAGATTGTTTTATAAATTCCGCACTTTTGAATTGTATTAATTTTTGGAATAATTACAAAAACAGGTAAATTTTGTTTTTAAATTTTTTTACTTTTTGACATCATATTTGAATAAGTGATGCGTAACTGTAGTGACGTCACAGACATTTTTTTGCTTATTTAAAGAACGAAATATATTGCCCTGTGTTGCTGTTTTCAGTTATACCTAACTGACTTTCTCATTTTG